TCAATGTACAATTTAGTTTTAACCCTAACAAAGTTTCAGTTCCGGTTAAAACCTCAATTTTAGAAAAAAAGTTAAGTCATCAAGAGTAGGTACTCTGTAAGAGATTGTTGCGGTACGAAAGGTCTCAAAAAAGTTGTAGATGAGCCCAAAAAATAAGATACGAATGTTCGGACAATCGTAATGACATCATCGTTACATCATTGCGTTGGATACGGTATGAGGGAATTATTCACACTCAAATATATCGTGTTCTGGCTTTGAATACTATAGCAACTAGCAAACCTTACTAAATTTAGTAGCTTTGACCAAGAAGCCATACCTTCATACATATTGTTAGGAAGAAAAATCCGACACTGTGCCGGTGTATCGGCGTAACACTAGCCTTATTAAAATGTCAACGTTTATGTCCCCTCACTAATCAATCTGACACTTGACTTGGTAACGAAAACGCGCCATTCACTCCAAAATATTCTAACCAATAAATGTCTAACGATATTCTACATAGTACGTACCATTAAAAAAAGGTTACTTACGTAAATCAAAACGTATTGGTAATTTGCTATGATATTACTCGTATGTCCAATTACATATCATGCGTCATTTTAAAACAAAGCGAAGAAACATTATTATACAACGATTCTTTAAATAAGGATAATGAGCAATATTTCTCAGACTATATTAACAATGTCAATCCTTACCGAGACCGCGTGCAAGCCCTAATTGCATAATTCAAAGCGATTACAGATGTTCAACACTGTAATTTGCATATTTAGGCTGCAATCATATAAGAAAAAATAAACATAATAAAATATACAAAGCAAGAATACATGTAACTTCAATGTATTTGTATGCTTTTATTTTGTCGTATGTCGTATTTTATTTATTGTGATGTGTGCTTGACAAATATAGTACTTGAGTTAAAAAAAAGTAATCATGGAAGATGAACATAAAAATAAAACGCGGTTTGGTTAAATGAAACTTGAACTTTAACAGAGTAATATAATGTTGACAATTTACATCAAAGTTTAACTAAATCTAAGCTCTAAGTATCTTTAACTTTAATAATATATTGGTCAAGTTTGAAAGAAAGAAAAAAGCATTTATAGAAGCATAATAAACAAAGTTATATGTAAATAATAACATAATTATATGACGCAATTTAGTTATAACGCAAATAAACCGACACTTCCTGTAACCGTGAGCGGAAGCTTAGAACGGCTACTGAAGATAACTTGAGCGTACGAGTATGTTAGAAACATTTATTGACGTTCAACGTTATCCAGGCGTTAGAAGATGAATCACATACAGCAAGCAGACATATAAATTTATTATATCCGGTATTTCCAGTGCATTATTATGACAACCGGTTTATTCCGTTATTCTGCAGATTTATAAAACAGATACACTCGTAAGAACGTAGAACTTTAGGTTTTTGCATTCAAGTATTTCAAGTGACCTCTAAACCTTGCTATTTGTTGTATCATATCACCTGATTGGAACAAACGTCATATACTTTAGAAAACTGCCGTTCCAGAATCGATCCCAACTTTTTTAATTATAGCCCAGTATGAGCCCAGTCCAGTATCAGTAATAATAAAGTAAGGATCCTAACTCTTTAGTCGGCAAACTATTAGTTTACTTTAGATTACGTTACAGTGTGTTAGTTTTTATCGCGATCGGTTTCGTAGATAAATATCGAGCAGGCGAAACTTAACACCGTGCGCAGCGCAGTACGTTAGACCACCACGCCGGTGTACCGCCCTAATTAACGATATACCAGGATCATTTTAATCCCAGTAAGTAGCTACAAAAGGCTTTTAACATCAAAATGGAGATAGATCCTTGGGAGCAATAACTGGAATTTTTATTTAGAAATAATAAACTTTATAACTCAGATTAGTGGCACTTTGTAAATTAAAATATATTTATTAACGCGGATTAGTTAATCTTTGATTGTTTAATCAAGAATTTCACATAGTCAGCCTGTGGGGTCCCATTGTTATCAGTCAAACATCAAAGTCATGCAGTCATTCAATTTAAGCCTACGTAGCGATGTAACATCATCGCAACGAAAAAAAGTCTGGCCGTATCGTTCAGATCGCGCCACTTTTGTTCCTTTTGCAGCTATTAAAGTAATATCTCGATGTTTTTTTGCTATAAATAAAACTGTGAATTTTATTTTACAGACTCCGTCCAATTGTAAGTCATCCGATGTAAACGAATACGATAGGCATCTCCGGGACGAGATTAAATAGAAATCTAAAAATGAATCTTGAATGGTTTAATGCAATTCAATCTTTGTTCGTTTCGAGTTAAGTGCAGTGTCTTGTATGGCGAATACAATGAGCTACTAAATATATATATAGTATTATTTTTAGAAATAGAGTGAGGGAGCGTTGCGGGAGAGTATGGAGAGTAGGGGCAGTGGTGTAGCGGCATGGCGAGTGTGTCAAGGCCCTAGGACTCGTGGCTGGACAAATACGCGGTCTCACCAATTATCGTGGCGGTTGTGCCTGCCGCGAGAGCCGAGCGCCCGGCGGCCGGCGGCTTTCAACTATTCAATACGCTCTAATTGCTTTTATTTCAGACCACATCTAACGTCAGACCCTTTGGGTTCGAGTGCTCTTTGTTTGTTAATATTTTGACGGGTTCTGGCGAATCCATAAAAATAGAATTTCAAATACTTTTATACTGGGCACTTAGTTAACTGTCTAATTTTAGCTTCTATATTTTATCCCCGTAGTCTACCTATTCTTACGTTGATTAGAAACATAATTATATACCTTATCTCGAATAAAAGTAATATAAGATGACCCAACGAATTAATGCAGCAACCTACAAAAAAACTTAACGTTACGCCTTTAAAGATTCGATGCAGTATCTCAAGATTTAGAATAGGGACCACCCAATAATTCCCTTACTGTAATGTTGTTTACATTTAATTTAATTCATTGAAATCCATTAAAAAAATCGAAGTTCGTAATTTAGTATAGCTATAAATTAGAGCGACCAGTAAAGTATCTCACGCAGCGGCTAGCAATGCTAATGAGACGATAAACGTTAATTACACAAGGAACTAATTGCAAAAAATAATGCAGGTAAATAAACACAGCCGCAGTCGTAGCTTTCGAGCTAATGTGGTCCACGGGCCATGTCTTGTTCTGCGTTATTTAAGAGACGGATGAACTAATGGATGCCTCAGATTATACTAAAGTGTTTCTAAGCTAATAAGTAAGGAAATAAAATAATAAACTTTAGAACTTTAAGTGAATAATACTACTTTGTAGACCCTTATATGTAGTGTAGGGTTTTTCGATTGCATAAAATTTTAGTAAAATTAATCGAAATGGAAGACAATCACGTCGTCTGTTGTGAAAGAAATGTATACAATTATTTGCACAAAATATGTATTAAAACTTTACGTATTTTTGTATTCAAAATTAATTTAATTTTCTCCAAGTAACAACCCTGACCAAAGAGCCATTCTTAAATATTGCACTTTAGTACTCTTAGGTGTAAATGTTTATTGTAGGGCTCTAATATCCTTTGCAAACTCCATCCTATGTAGTAGAGCAATTTAAAGAGATTTTAAGATAACATTGTGGGAGGCCTTCCTATAAATAAATTGTATTGAATGGAAAGAAGACTTTATGATAAAAAACGAAGCAAGAAAGGGCTTTTATGTTACGATGTATTATAATTCGCATTGTGATTGATAAATGCGTTCCTTTGTTTCACATATAGATTTGGTGTAATCATCGGGCAAGTGGCCGCCGGCGATTGACTTTTTTATGACCATATGAATAACGAAACGAATACTAAGAAATGAATTATTGTAATGTAGTGCCTTGTAGATAGGTAGGCTGCGATGTAAGAGTATGTTTAGCATCGTATACGGTAGATTAAGAAGATATTGAGCTGCAATATTCCGAGAATAACAAACATTGGTATAAAAATGTCGGTGTAATTTCTCTCAGAATTAATACTAAGAATATGCAGGAAAAAAGTATTAATACTACTGATATATTCATTTCTTAATACACGTTGACTTATTATGGATGACAAATAGGCCTTCATAGACATTTATAGACAATATAAATGTGTATACTGTCAATGTTAATCAGAGATATTATTAAAATCGAAAATTTGTCAATGAATAATATTTATGAAAATAATACAAAATATTTTAATATTATATTACATATTATCTTGCAAGAAATCTTTACTATTGATTGTTTGTTTGTATTTAATAGGCCGCGAAACTACTGAAATTATATGAAAAATACTTTCAACACTTAGACAAACAACATTGATCGTAACATAAAGTTTAGTAAGCGAAAATATTACCATACTGACAAATTTACATAAATTATGAGAAAAAAGTTATATTTTGATTATTAAGTGGAAAGTAAAATTTACAGTCATTTCAAACAACAATGTAAAAAAAAATGAAAGTAAAAACTAAAGTAATTTCAACAGAGATCCATCTCACAAACTGCAAAATTATTCAGTCTGTGGGGTTTTTAAAAACATGTCAGTATCACATCGTTGGCACAAACATATGAATCCATAAATAATTTCAAAAGAATTTTCTGAGCACACATCACATGTTTTAAGAATAAATTAGTACGCATGCAATAATTGCAGTCGGGACGTTCGTGATGCTCAATGGGAGATACAACAAAGGTACACCCTTGAGGCGGCATGGCTGTCCACCGAGAAAAAACTACGACAACCCTTTGGACAAGCGAAGAATTCGCGTCGACCGCAACAAGAACAAATTGAGCGCGAACGCAAACTATTGTGCGGTACGATTTGAGATAACTCCCGTGCGAAGGAGCGTCCGCGATCGCCCGCCGGACGTCCGCGGCGGCGCCGCGACTCGCCCGTGACCGCTACAACACGCACCGTGTTCATCTCTCGCTATCATGGTAACGAGTGAATCGATCGCAGGCGAGGGCAGCGATGTAGATGGCACTACATACGATGTTCGTAGGAACGGGACCGTCGCTTCAGCGGTGGCGCGCGCGGGACGCGTCTCTGTTATAAGCGGGGTCCCGGGCAGCGCGCGCTCAGTGTGCCCGAGTGTCCTGTGTTGCGTGAGCGCACTCCAGCAAGTGTCCACACATATCACGGTCCGTACTCGCTCGACATCGTCTTCACTGACAACATGCAGCTCGTCTTCGCCTCCAGCCTGCTGCTGCTCGCGGCGGCCATCGCGCCCACAACAGGTACGTTCGCTTTTACCATCTCCCATACTTTATTGCAGCTAAATTTAATCGGCAAGTTTATTTTTGGCAACGCCGGTGAGTACTGGAATGACAAGTTCTATGATCCCGCTATATGACAGGAATCTATTTATTTGTAAAATTTTTAGTTTCAGTCTCATTTCGTTGCACTTATTAACTTCGGACTGTAATTTCTTAATTTCAATGATAAATAATTTTCAGTGATTAGTTTTTACTTCTATTCATTTTTAGATTAGTTAACTTACTACTTTACATTTGATATTACGATTGTAATAAATGAAGTTATCGTGGCCCTAAGTTTGAGAGATTCGTCTGTGCGCGGATAGACTTAGCAATGAGCTCATTACATAAGTCCCCATAACTGAGGTGAAGCGGGAGCTGGTTGTCGCTGTAAGTCGCTGTTGTGACCTACGGGTCCTCGACCTTCATTGTTCAGGTTTCATTACAGTGCAACGCCTCCTTGCTACAGCTACAAATAACCATTATATTTTTAATTACATTGCTTGGGTTATGGAATTCAATAGGTCTTCAAAAGTGATTTCTGTTGTTCAGTACAATTAATTACCCTTTTTATTAAGGATTTGCGATTCAAATCTAAAAGTACGAATGAGTTAAAAAGCTTAGAGTATTTTTTCATTAGTTCTATACTAAAATAACTTAGGTTACTGGTTTATAGACAATTTAAAAAGGTTTCTTATCAGTCCATTTTTACCAAAGTATATTCCGGGTCGCTAAAAAACTTTAGGCGTCATATATCTTGGTCACTAAATTGATAATTTTTTTTTACTGATGACACAAATAATATTATTAAATTTATCGATACGTACATATGCGTGAAGAGGCCATAAACTTACATCGGAAGAGCAAACATTTCATATATAACAAATGACAATCTCATAGATTAGCAATAGATAGTGATCTATAAACTGGTCAATTTTAAAGAGTTCATAATGTGTAATATGCTTTGAAAGGTAAGTAGACTATGAGCTGGAGTATTTCGCGTTTGTCCTGTTGACTCAAGTGGCTCGCAGCTCGCGGCGCGCAGGTAAAAGACATCGAAACAATATATCAACAAAAAAGCTCGGCTTACAACCAACTGCTTCAGCTCTATTTGATAACCGATAATGTAATATGAAAAAGAGCTGTTATATTTATACAACATTTTATTTTGTTATCAACCAAGAGATAATACTTTGTATGCAATATTATGTTTTGCAAAAAGTACTTTTGGATTTAGATTCACAAATCATAGATAAGTAAGTAAGGAGTAAGGCGCGAAATAGGTACATAATATATGTAGCTATAAGATGAATATATGATCTTTTACTAATCCTATAAATGAGCATGTTGGTACTATACGTGATATACCCTTTCTATGGTATCAAGAAAATGTTGTATATATTCAATGTAGTCGTTATTGTATTTGATTAAACGTACAAATTTTCCAATTCATATAAATCACGATTTCGTCGTCCAAAGTGCATAGATTGCGGGCATTCTGGTAAACGAGTCAATGTCAATGACACCGCCGATCTGTCGAGCCGAGATTTACTCGAGTGCAACGAATTATCTCATCAAGACATCGCCGGAGCCTGAGAAACGTTAAACGATCGCCAAACGAGCGGACGGTCGCGCTGCGATTCCGCTAATGAGCCGTGTCCGCGGTTATCGGGCCTATCGACAGGTCGGCAAAAACCGTGGAACGGAAGTGGAGAGGAAAAAATGGTTAAGGGGCCTGCGGGGGACGAGGTACAGGTGCCTGGTTCATTCCCCCGGGCGGTTGATAGTTCCGCACACTGTACGCCTAGAGTAAAGCGATCCCAGGTTGCGATGTTTTTTATAATTGACTCCTAAAATGGTATGTCCTTATACCATATTGGCTTTGAATCTTCTTCGAGACAGATTGTAAATTCGATTCGGTACGAATGCGAAGTTAACTCGCTAAATTGAATAATTGGTTTGCTCATACCTTATACATAAATATTTCTTCAATTTCTATTCAAATGGCGAATCGTAAATGTTTATCGCATTTTACTTCCCATTAAGATTTGATTGGTAGAACAGAGTGGAAAAAACATTGGAAATTAAACTCCCGCATTTCATTCGATAAGTTTTGCGTGAAGACATGTTGAGGAATCAAGGACAAAGAAGTATAAAAACGTAAACATTTCAATCACTTCCGTAAACACTAACACAAGGTTAAATATTGCATTATTGATAACGTAACAATGTGAAGTACAATTCAAACTTCTGCTATATAAATATCACCGTTATGTGTTATCATAACACGATATGTTTTAAAAATACAGCTCCTATGATTAACTGTTATGACACATTGGTACATATTAAACAGGAAGACGTATAACACGCGTTCATTGGTAAACACATCTTTAACGTTTTACTCTTACGTTTAATTGCTAAATTATTAAAATCAACGATGCTGCAAGGTGTACAACATCACTTTCGGCAAATAGGAAGTCACGCAATAAACAAGAGAAGCACCTGACAGATTGGATGAATGAGAGATTGAACCGTGAAGCAGGCAAGCACCGATCTCAAAAAGACAGGTGCATCAGACAGGCATCAAGATTATTAAACTGATAGAAACATTGAATTGACTATCCCATTAAAGTTGAACGCGTTAGATTAATTCTCGTTTAATTAAAAGCTCGGAAGCCGTTAAAAATGGATTTGTCAAGTGCCGACAGTATCTTAATGTAATTTATAGTAGAGTCCCATTTTTTCAACCCTACAACTTAATACCGAGTTAATGCTCACGCCAGGTGGCGATTATATCAAATTACAACAGGATGGAATCTCTCCTTGCGACGACCTTCTCTCCTTTTTTTAGCGAGCCCCGGCCGCCTTTTAGAATCACCATAATTTAAGATTGTGTCGGACTTACATAAAGTTAGAATGTATGTTATAATAATACTAAGAATAGCCTATTACATTCATTCTTTACCTTGTACTCGTTTAATATTACACATACATCTTTTACTTTACTTCATTAATACCGTCCTTATGTTAAATTGAAAAGCAGAAGAAAGTCTCATTAGAACTTTCAAACACGACCAAAAATGATAAAAAACAATTTGCAGTAGCTGTGGAATCTCAGCACCTTAAAAGCAAAATCTAACAAGAAACCAACAATGAGAACCGTCGCCTTAGAAGGAACGGTTACATTTCCCCTTTAATAAGTGTCCATTAAATCCTGCGCACGAAATGAGAAAAAGACGACGAGCTCGCTGGCGGCGAACGCGGTTAACATGAAATTTCAATAGGACGGTAAGAACTGGCAAATGTTTGTTTGGCTCGGTGGGTCGAACCGGGCCAGTACCGGGTTTGATTACTAAAAATAGTTCGATGGTGCATTCCGCGCAGGAAGGGGACGCGGGCAAGGGGGAGGTCAAGGGACGCGCCGTCCTTGGATTCGTCTGCTTCGCCATCATCTCAATCCCTTTTTTGCGATCCGCCGACCGCAAACGTTCGATCGCTTTTCCCACGGGCGCTCGTTATCGACGATCAATAGATAATTCAATTGTGTGTTTTTTGCTTCATTATAATCGTCAGCCACAAAATTCAATTTAAATCATACGGATCATAATACACAGCTGTCAGTTTGACTGAATGTAAAAAATAATTCGCAATAATTTATGGTGCTTATTACCTGGCGTCGAGAAATAATCGATGCCTATGTTTAGCTAGGTTTGTTCATTTTAATTATATTTAAATTTTGACTAATTAGACAAGGTAACTAACTGTAAATAAAAAAAAATATGATGTGCCTTTACATATTTAAATATAAAACTTGGAGTTCAAGCAATATTTATAGATGTCAAATAGATGTCAAAGGTTATCTTTAACGGATTTGTTGTTAATTTTATAAATGCGAGTGTTTAGATGGATGTTTGTATGAAGATATCTACTGAGTGGATGAATGGATCTCGATGAAATTTGGCATGGTTGTAGAACATCGTCTGGAAGAACACATAGGCTTAAATTATGTTTTTTTCAAATTACGCGCGGACGGAGTCGCGGACGACAGCTAGTCTTGACATAAATGTAAATAAATACGATGGTGAATACATTGAAGTAAGACATAATAAATATAAAGTATACTCTGTTTCTACATAAAATGTTTCACGTAAGACTGTAAGAGGCCATTGCTTTCAATGTTAAGGTTGAGCTTGCATTCAATGCGAAGGTTGTGAAGTTACGTGTATGGCAACAGAGCGCGGATGTATGGCGTCAATACTCAGTACCCGCTGTCGCTCGCCGACTGGTTTGAGTTATGTAATGCACTCCAGCTATGCAAGTGACAAGGCGCGACACGGCGCCGACGCCGAGACTCCGGTGCAGGCCCATTACCTATTATTATTTAGCACTGAGTGTCTTCTTAGTAATACATTATCAACGACTATTGACGACAAAAAGACTATAAAATAAAGTAAATATAAAGTGAAGTGTGTGTTATTACGACTTATTGTATTCTTACTAATATTATAAATGAGAATGTTTAGATGGATGGATAAATGTTTGAAGGTATCTCCGGAACGACTGAACGAATCTCTCTGAGATTTAACATAAATGTTGAACATAGTCTGAAAGAACGTATAGGCTATTTAATAACTCTTTTTTAATTCTGCGCAGACGGAGTCGCAGGTGACAGCTAGTGTATAATTATTTTTGCATAAATCAAATGCATCGCCACTTCAAATAGGTTAAAGTGAAATTTAAAAAAAGAACTATTGTTAGAATTATTATATTAGCCTTTTATTCTAGAAAAAATAAATGGATAGGATATATGCAGTAGGTATCGATTAACCAAGTTTTAGATTTAAGTTCCGAAACTTCATTTCATCAAAGTCCAAGTTCTGACTTGTAGAAATTTTTTTCCCATCTAAATTTGTAAATTTAAGATCTTTAATTCAGTGAATAATCTTCTGAATTTGCATATTTTAATATACAAAATTATTTATCAAACGAAACAAAGGTATAAATTGATGAGTCAAGAGACAGGAAATACGTTGATTAGTTCTACGCGAGGTGTTTATTAAAATTTTATCGAACACAATATCATGACTTTATGCTTGAAGATGTACAACCCTTTGTGAATGGAAGGAAGTGGTCGTCACTATCACAAGCCACTTAAAATTCCGTCACGAGAGGTTTATATGGGAATATTAATGAGACATATAAGGTTTTATATCGTAAAAAAAATTTAAAAAACGATTTATATCACGTTGCTTTTCTTAAAAATAAAGAATTAAAAAAAATGATCTTTAATACCATGTTTGAACAGGCCTTTCAACGTAACAGACGTTCCATTCGTGTGTAAGAATTTTTGTTACGGATCATTGCACGAAACAGAAAAATATGCATTGTTTTCGATTTATTTATATTTACATCGTCATGATTGGTAAAGGTCATGCATGCTACAGTCAGCATAGCTGGAAGGAATGGAATAAGACATTAAGTTCGCCGGGAGCTGTCCTGCAACCGGTCGCAACACGAGCGCTTCAGCTCTAAAAATAGGATTCCTAGTCACGGGTCCTGAGTGCGCGAGGTATTCAGACCTCGCTATAACCATAAATATACCAACACCTCACATGCACAAACGTCCCGTTTCGAGTATTTATCAATGCTTTTATTGCTTCGCTTGTAAAATGTACAAGCCTTGGAATATTACTTGTACTAACATTTTAATAATTTTCTAGATAGTATGGATAAGAATGAAAATATTCTAGAAGGCGCTAAGCTGTACATTATCTATTTAAAAATTAGATTTACCTCTACCGATTTGATTTAAATAATTTATTTATGATTAAAATCTAAATATGTTCAAAGTGAAATGAACTTTTAAATCATCATTTCAGTTCTTGAGCGTAAAATATAAACACAATAGCGTTTTTCTTTAATATTTTTAACCGACGTACATATCGGTCGGGTCGATAAGGACCGGCGGCTTTTGGTCAGCGGTCCGTTAGCGTTCACGTCCGGTGATGAGCCCGCCGGATATCCCCGGGGCGACCACGACACGTTCACTGCACCTTCGCCTGCCATACTGGTCGCAATCGCATTATGCCACTGTTTTGATCATTGATCGATTCAAAGAGTACTTTGTTCATACGTCTTCTTTACATTGAAGAGGTTTACTTTGTGAACATTGGAGAAAAAAAAAGTCGCCTCGGTCGTCCTAGGGTACAGGATATTAATTATTTTATACCTAATTTTGGATTTTAAGTTATAATGTGCCTAATAATGGTATAAGAGTATGTTTAAGATTCTTCTAAGAAGAATCGGTGAAGTAAGCAACCCTTACAAATTTAAGTTTATCGACCATTTGCCGGGCTACAAAGCAATTAGTTCGTCCCATTACTCTACCATACAGACTGTTATGATTAAGTAAGAAAATATTTTAAACTAACAGAATCCGGAAACAACAACAGTAATGAACATTTTATAAATTTAACGAATTCACCTATCGTCCAAACAATGTACTGGTGTCCTCGATCGATCTAGCGCATGCGTTCGGACGTGTTCGGAGCGAGGCGCATCAATATGCGCCGCGCGCGCAACATACGTGACCCGACGTTCCTCTTCACCCCTCTCTCCTCTCTCTCCTCTCTTCGTAACAACCCACCAATTTCTAAGCGTCCCTAGCGATCCCCCTTTATGTTCATATCGTTTGACATTTTCATATTTATTCAGGTGTATGCGATTGACGTACCATCGTTATGGACGCAAGCCTATCCACTTTGAGACTCGAAGTTGCACATTTAATAGTTAACATTGCAGGCATTATAATATTTTCTAGAACTGTTTGGATTACATCTTAAAATGAAGAAGAGACATGTTATTTCTGTTGTTTGTGAAATTCTACAAATAACGACGAAATTTCAAACTGACAGGCTGATTGTTAAGTGAATAGTTTACAAATTCGCTCCTCATGTTTCTAAAAGATATGAAACATTTATCCGAAAGCATATTGTTATTATAACAAATAAAATCAACAAAACCTTGTTTTACGAACAGTCAATAGTATTATTTATATCAAATAAAAACAACAACCTAAAACAATCGTTGTTAATAATAGAAGATCATTCTTTTAATTTTTCCGTGTTCTTTTCTATAAGTAATTAAATCAAACAGCTTGTTTATACCTATATAAAGTAGCAGACGTTGATCTTCCGTTGATGCGTTGAAACACTAAACTAAACATATGTAAAACTTAAGAACCATGTCTTCATGCAAGTGAACGTATAAATTGTTTATGCCGTTTGCAGAGAATTACTCTGAGTTTGCCTTACTAACATGTCATATTTTACCTATTTGATTTTAATGTGGACCTCCTAAAATGATTGTGTGAGTGAAATATACGTTTCTGAAATCTCTTACAATGTTTCTCTCTGTAGATTATCCAAGTAGAACTAAGGACGCTATAAAAAGTTTCTCATAATCAAACCTACTAGCCGTATTTATTACAAATTGGAGAGCATTTCCGCAATTCGCCGTATGCATCTATTGAATACTTTTCATTGGTTATAATGGGTATCGTACAAATCAAAGGATCCGATCTATAGATAAACGTCATCTAATTAATATCTGACTATAACAGGTACCGGATAATCTGTAAGCTTCGCAGAGAAGCCACAGGATGCGTTTTATTACAATTTATTAATTGCCTTCGTGACTGTTATTAATCGAGGCGTCTAGGGTTCGACGACCTCGGTGGAGGAGCGTGGAAAATGGTTCATTCCATTGCACTTTTATAGTTGCGATGCTGTCATGAATAGGCAGACGACACAAGCCTAGCTTAAGCGCTATATTTCCATTTATTTTTAGAGTAGATACAAAGATCATTATTTTTTGCCCTCATAAAAACGGTTTGGAAGATCGCGTAAAAACTCATCCGATACATTTTTACGGTAAAAAAATTGTGTAGGCGTAATAAGCCTACTGATTTCTTAAGATAAAGTGCTTAAAATGGAATATTAAAAAGTTATAGTAAATGCGATATGCGCGTTTTCTAGGATCATTTGATCCGAGTGTATATGTCAATGTATGTGGATGCAAGTGACAATGTCCCTCAGGCGCGGTGTAATGACCCAGCGGGAACCAGTACCCGCCGCAATGCTAGACCAGCTCCGCAATATCGCATTCCAGATAAATAAAAATAAAAACTATTAGTGGTATTAGAAATTGATTCTTTAGAGTCTTTGTATCGCTTTCGATGGATTATTCAATTACGGAATAATACGGGGTGCGGTTGACCGCAACGAGCTCGGGACATTGGATTTAATTAGGCACGTAATGTCGGGGCTAGACCGCAAGCATCTTGTATGCACAAGTGGAGGTTGCATTTTTTGATCACTGTCGTTGTGCGAAAGTTAAAATTCATATCGTTACCAATTTTAATAATCAGATACCAAAGTATTTGACATCTTGTTTATATTAAAGTATATGCCGGTTTATATCATTTTAATTTAAAAGATATTTTTTTAGCTATGTGACGTTTAGTAAATAAAGGACCATTAAAAACAATTCCTTAGCAACTGATTACTTTCGTGATCCTGAATATGAATTTAAATAAGATTAAGCATAATGACGTAAGCTCGTCCGTTACTAATGTATGACCATGGGAAATAGTATTTGCAATTTTTTGCTTCCACCACGAAATAATTTGCAACGATCAATTCGAAAAACTATTCGTGCTTCCTTTGCGGTTAAATATCATCAACGCCATTACAAAAATAATAAAAATGGTGTACTAAAACATGTTTTTTTTTTGTTTCAGCTCAAAGGATAACGACGATACAACTGGATGGCGTCCAGTATTTCATATCGAGAATGAACCCGTACAGCCCAGAACTCAACTACTTCCTAGCATACCAGTACTGCAGGTACGTTATCTTGTTAAAGTACGAGTGTGATATAGACGCGACGCGTATCACAGACGGCGGTAAAACTGACGTATTATGACTCTCTTATGACTGAGATGGTATCGTCGCCCCGCGAGCAACGTTTCATCTTGATATAATAGTTAGTTCGTGACTCGCGGCTCTTATCCGGGATATCATTGCTGCGATCCTGTTCAGATGTTGCCATAAGCGAGCCGCTCTGGGCGTTAACATCGCCGCTGGCCGCTGCGCTGCGGACCGCCGAGACCCGGAAGCTCGGGGACATTAACATTCCCGTTATTGGTTCTGGGAAAACTCGAGAACAATATCGGCGCCTTGGTGAGCCATTTCCGCGAGCCATTCATACTGTTTAATGCCCGCCTCCCGGCGTTATTGGCGCACCGTTCCCACGGAACGCGACCAAGGCATGAGGGCCCAGTTGTAAAGTGATGCCGTGAATGGAATGCGACTAATCGTAAATTATTACTCGTTTTACTATTGTTTCATTCTTACTCCGACGTGGGAATCTATCGCTGGTTAGTTCGTTTAATGCTTGTTATGACCGTTTACGTAATGCCAAGTTCGTGACGCTGGGCCCGCCACGTGCACAGGCGGGAGATGGCGGAGGTCAGTACCCTTTGCTCAGTCACGATGTCCTTCGATCTTGGAGTCGGCACGACCTACATATTTACAGTTCCCATTGTTAGCCGTCCCTAAAGTGAACAATACCGATATTTAAATCCGCCCATTTATTGTGATCGTGTGACATATTTCCTTCAACTTGAATCAGCATAACATTGGATACCAAGCGATGAAAAATTGATGTAACACCAAAGCGTCTTTATATTGTATATTCCATTTGGTTCAACAGTAGCACAAATCAGACTCGATAAGTTCTTTCTAACGACGTGTCATACATTGCGTCAGGTCATAAGGTAATGATCCAATTGATCGCCCCTCGTAGCGTACGTAGTAGCGCATAATAAAAAGAGGTTAACGGTAAAGAAGGCGGTATTCACACATCTGTTTGTTAAAATTTACATCTTTAGGAATATTTGGTTTACAGTCAAGAACTATCCAGTCAAAAATCTCACGGAATACAGTCACGTCATCACCGAAACATGTTAAAATGTACATAAATTAAATAAATATTCAATTAGTTGTAGCAAGTATATGATTTTTAACTGAAAACGTTTCATTGAGAATTTAAAGTATGTTCTCAAAAGTGGACGCGCGGACGACATACGAATATTGATAGTCTTCGGACAAAATCGATACAGTTATGGCGTAAAATATCGATATGATACGATTGTGGGATACGTCAATGGGAACTGCAATAATTGTGTCATAACGCATTCACAACACATTCGCGAACGCGACGTTACGATTCGTAAGTAGTTCATTTGCGTGCATGAATTTTGAATGACTTTAGTGCATTTTTTAGTTTTGTAATGCAATTTTTACTTATACAAAAGTAAGAAAAGGGACTGGAGTGTTACTTAACGAAGAGTAATAAAACTTAAATTGGTAATGATGATTTTTCTTGCATTAAACAACTATGAATAACAAAGATAAAGCGGATAAGGTACTTATTATGCAACATAGTTTTTTCTATTAGTACTATTCTAGCATAATATATACAGGACTAAAAAAGGTTTTGTCGTAAAGTTCTGTACTCCATGGAATGCGGCTTCGTCACGTTGCAGGCTGTATTTAGCAAACAAATTGCCCCGCGATAAACAGGCTTCGCTACAGCATTCGCTAGGGTCTACAGCCGCGATTAGCTGGAATATCTATTTAGTTAAATCGCGTATTTAGATCCGCCGTTACTGGTATAAGTGGCTCCTGTCATAGCCAGGTGTATAGCGGACGATTCCCACGTTTCATTTCATATGCAAGTCAATGACTTAACATCTAATGACCAGTATGTATAAAAGACCCGTTTATAATAATTTTATATGTACTTTATGACTTCTAACGTTCTGCAGATATTTTATTGCGGGAACGGAAATCATAAATTATTATAAACATAGGAATGGACTGAACACATGTGACTTTAGTATTTTTAGATTAATTAATTGTATTTGATGTTGAGGTTAATCTTATTTGTAATTATTTAATGGTTTGATATTACAATAAACATACTACTAAATATTTATGACTTCTAAATGGGTATATTGACCAAGCTTTCATTGTGAAATTGTTCTTAAATGTGAATGATTCCTCTGATTTGTTGTATCAGATGATTTTTAACTGATGATAACTTTTTTAAATTTTTTTAATGTTTTTGTTTTCAGATCACTAGGCCTCCAACTAGCTTCATTTGAAACAAAAGAAAAAGCGGACTCCATAACTACGTATCTCTTAAATGCAGGTAAGATGCAACGATGAATATATCGTAGTGTATTGTTATGTAAATAAATAACGTCAAATATGTCAGTTTTGATGTTGTAGAAAAAATTCCCGCTGTCTTACACTAACTACTTATTATCTGACATTGTCACATTATGTATTTAAATTTAAAATGAATTTCTAATTGCAACTTTATATCAAATTTTAAGGGTACAACAAATACGACTTCTGGACGTCTGGCAATAATCTAGGCACTGACATGTACCTGTGGATGAGCACGGGCTTGCCATTCAATGCCACCTTCAACTATATGCGGAGAATGAGCAATGTCACCCCCTACCAGCACTCGGACGATAGCATGGACCCCGTCGACCTGCCTCAGGGTAGCACTGCACCTCAGCGTACCGCCAGGCATGGGTACGTCGCTATCATCATTATCATCATCAATATCTTCATCAGCTTCATCATTATCATCATCAACATAACGAATAAAGCTTATAAGAGAGTTTCTTATATCAGTCAATGCATACAGATAGTTAGCATATACAGAAAGTTATGATCTAGGAGCAATAAGCAAATCAATTGCGGCAAACTATTGTATTCCTCACGAATTTGTCATATCGAAATAGGCAATTATTGTTTGTTAGTTTCAACAATATTGAAATATTATAGGTATTCCAGGACCGAGCACGTGATGGCCAACGGGTGCGTAGCACTCAAGCAGCCCGACTTCCACTGGGAGCCACAGCACTGCGGGGAGATCAAGGACTTCATCTGCGAGCAGACGCGCTGCTACTACTACAACTACGGCTCCATCCCCGTGTCCTCGGCGCAGGGGTAATGCCAGGTGAGATGCCAGCAACCCGGGGCCCGCCCCTGCCGCCGCGCGCTCCGCACAACATCCATCGCACCGCTTCACTACATGTCAACAGGACGACATCCATCTCTAATATTGAGACGTAGTTACTAAATCATAATTAAAATCGGAGTAGTTTGTGTGCTAACAATTTAGATGTAGATTTGTCTTACTACAACCGTCAGAATAACGGTAACCGAAGCGCGCGTGCTGCGGGATCAGGCCCCTGCGTACAACCCAACCACCAAACAAGATCCCTACACCCAAGAGTTTGGCTTTTTAATTTGTTTCTTTTTCTTTTAATTTCATATCTGAGAGCTAAATGTAGATTTGTGGGGGTTTTCTAAATTAACAAAAATTTGGTGGGTGGGTGAAGGGGGCTTTGCTTGGTATCTAACCAGAGTGTTTTAGTATCACAACATTTGGGTCATGTTTGCCTTAATCGTTCCCTAACGGGGAGGAAATTGAGGCGTTGTAATATGTTATCGTTATGTGAGGGTCGCGCCCCGTCTGTCTTCTAGGAAGCCGTTGTCCCTGACGACGACGACGACCGCGCACCCGCTCACCTCGTCGTCGCCGCCGCCTCCGCGCTCCGAGCACCTGCCCACCCACTTCAACATCAGCGTGCTCTTCGACAAGCTGCAGCCCTCAGCCCTCGATGGCCTCCGCTCGCCGCACCTCAAGTCGGGCTCGCCCGCCAAGGCCTCCCCGCAGATAGACTCGCACTACTCGCGTGCGGCCGACGCGCGCAGCCACGAACAGGAGCAGGAGAAGGAGGAGCCGACGCAGGGCCCGTATGACAATGAGGAGGGCATGGTGGGCGACGACGCGGCCGCGTACCTCGCGCAAGAGGCGGGCGCCGCGGGCGCGGCAGGTGAGGGCGCGCCCTCCACCGCCGAGCCGGACGCCACCGAGCATTCCGTCCACGCCAGCGGCATGCTGGCACCTCCGCGCTACTAGCGTCCGGCTCGACGGCCTCAAGTGTACACTATTCTCGACGATTAGCTATATCCTCTACCAAAAGTATTATTCATATAAAACGGCGCGCGTGTAGAGCATTAATAAGACTTAGCTTGCTTCGATAAAGATGCATTAACGCATCAGTAAATCCATATTACATAAATGTAAATGAGATTTATTACTACTAGATATTGTTTATGTATAATTACAGTAAGTGGGGAATTTTAAGGTGGTTATGGTGGTAGTTGCGTGAAGACGGCGGCGACTCGTATGCGACTCGCCGCCGTCTTCAGACCTGCGGCGGAGGTCGCACGGAACACGTGACGCACGCGGTGCGGTACCTACACTTCACTCGTGACAAAAATATAATGCGCGTTAGATCTCCGGTATTACATTTAACCGTAAAACGTAGAATTATTTAAGAAAATTGACGCTAATTATTATCGGTCTGGACATATCATTCGGATTAGTGATTTAAGATTATGTTTATATTACGCGACGAAACTAGATAAGTATAATAAGATGGAATTCAATTTTAAGATTAGGCGATGTAGTAAGTTAATAAATATAAAAATTGTAATAACCTTTTGTTTTATTTCTATAAAAACCCTAAAATAGTTAATAAAATTCTTCAAAAAAATCAATAAATGATGATTTCCATTTTTATCCATGATGTTCTTTTACAGTCTATGAACTAACACTGTCAAATTTGAAACTAAAGGTACAATAAATACAGTAAAAGACTCACCAGCCATTAATCACACCTTCAACGTTGAGCATGGGGACAATCTTGAAGACGTACTTAGCGCGGAGTGCGGCGGCGGGCGGCGTGTCGCCCAGCAAGCAGCGCAGCGTACCATCCATCACCCACGATGCGTTGCTCTCGCCTGGGTGCACGCGCGCCGTCAGGAATATTATCTCTCGGTCCTTCACATAGAGACAAAAAGAGATACCATGCTTATAGGGAAAAGGAAAACTGGTGGTTCACTTGAATGTAACATTATTTAAATGTAAAAATTGAGATAGGGAAAGAGAGAAAAAAGGTGAATTGAGCGAAAGTCGGATATAATTAATTGATCCACGATAAAATATTATAAATATCTGACTATTGAAAGGTAAATTGTTCACCATATGAAATGATAAAACGCATTCAAGTACGTACCACAATAGGGTTAGCAGTGCAGTCGTCTGCTGTGATTGTCAGCAGTGGAATTTCGTTGTTGTTGAGTGAGTAACAAAGAGGTTCCGCTCTCAGATACGCACCAATAGGCAGTTGTAAACTCCACTGGAAGATACGAGTCTGGAAATATTTATATTCCCTTACTACCTCTGTACACTAATTATTAATATTAAACTTGAAAAAAAAACCATACGCATTGTTTATGGATGTTTCATACGAGACTTTAAATTAAGTAACGTCTTTAATAAAAGGAATTATCTTATTATTACTTTATGCATTATATTATATTAATATTTAATGCAAAAATGTGGAGGAAGTCAAATTATACGCAAATAATATAAACTGTGGAATATTTAATTTTTGAACCTCGGCAATCAAAGCATTAGATACATACGATAAGCCATAAAAAAGATAATCGTTGGTTTCTGAAACCAAAATTCTTATAAAAAACATATCGTCATCCTCCTCATTATCTTTGATGGAACATATATAACAATATGACTTATACAGGAAATTTGGTCTCAAAAACCTACGATTAGTAAAGAATGTATAAGTATACCATTAACATAGAGTATGTGAATGGGAAGTGGTAAGCGATGTAGCAGACATCGTTGGTGTGCGGGAAGTCAATGTTGAATGTGACGGTGAGGTAGCATTTGTTGTGGCTCTTCTGGTTCGCGTAGTGGTAACTGTTGCGGTAGTAACAGATCTCAGAGCCCGCGCGCACCCAACCTAAAAACAATGTTAAATGTACAGTTAAAGTTAAGTATATTCGTTGTTAAGGAAGGAGACCAGCTGTTGGAGATGGATACAAGACGGATAAAAAAGAAATCTCTTTTCACAACTAGCAGTTGCAATAGCCCTATTTGAAATACTAATTTTAATTAAGAATACCAAATGTTTGGTTTTTTACTATTTTATATCGCATATAAAATACGAATGCATGAAGATATTATAATGTAATCAATTACTAGGGATCATAAGAACAGTACCTGGTTTTCCTGCAACCGCTTCTTTGACAGAATACAAAACTGGCTTCATACCGAAATTGAACTGGCTGTCAGATTTCTCACAGTTCACGATATTAAATATGTACGGCCGCCCTTGCTGCATGTTGCGGACTTCGAAATAAAACCATTGGTGTCTTTTATTTGAATTCACATCTGGCATCAGAATTAATTCGTATTCTCGTGGGCCTACCTGATGATATAATTTGTTATAAATTTCAATTGAGAAAACTACAAATTTTATTTACTACTGCACTATATTTAAACAAATAAACGCGATGTCACGTAATATAGCGAGACTTATATAGTTTGGAATTAACTATACCTGAATAGCTTTCCTTAAATTCCCCGATTCGAATCTCGATTCGAAACTCAAACGCGCAGGAAATGTGTTAGCTTTTGATATTTCTTGTTCATCTGTATTCGTCAATAGGGTATCTGTACTGAAATTTGTACAAATAATTATCAATACGCCAATAAAATAACAAAAAGATATAAAGAACGATTTCTTACCTTTTCTGTGTAGTATTTTCTGTTGCAGCAGCATTACATAATTGATCTAAATCGTAAACCACTTCGTTCAAGTATGATTCAGGATTGATAGCTTTATCCACACAAGATAATAATTTTGTTCTGGGGAAATATATTTTTATAGTTAAAATTGTTATTTCGTATTTAGAAATCAATCAAAATTCTTTAACGTTTAATTGTCGTTTTATCTGTTTTTATTTTTTGTTACCCTACCTCGTGTTGTGTAAATATTGTGAGAACAAAGGGGCCAGCTGAAAACCAGCGCAGGAATGGTCAAGCCCTCCCTGCACCAGCTGAGCTGGCCACCTTTTTGCCACATCCTTAATTTATTTAATTTTTTTGGTTGTTTGTGGCAATAAATAAATATTCTATTCTATATATTGTGTTTTGTTAATTCGTTAATGCCATTCTCAGATGTAGTATTATTATGAGAAATTTACATTAATAAAATTTGTTTACCGGCAAGCAGCTCTTTCCATTTTATTAAGCGGTTCCGGATGATTAAGACTTTGACCACCAGTCATGTCCGGGTACGCAACTTTAACAAATGGTATCACACTGCGTACTTTTGATGCGATTATTGAATAAACTGTTTGAAATATACTGTATTTTGATACTTCTTTGTGAATTTTCAGAGATGTGCAAGACGTCAGGGCTGAAATGAAAACCAATAATCTGACTAATATCATAACTGTTAAAGTTCGTAGGAACAGATATACCTTCTATAATTTTATCTAGAACGGATTAAAGAACCTTGTTGAAAATTGGCATAGATTTCGCACATAGTGTGTAAGAACACAGTCTACCAATTAAGTTTTTTAGTTATTTCCGCACGGACACAGTCGCGGGCTACAGCTAGTGCTAATACTTGTATAAATAGAGGAAGCATCCCTTTTTAAGGTAAAATTTAATGCAGAGAAGAAGCTCATAAAAGTATTTAAAAATACTTTTAATATAATAAGTACTTACAACTAGTTTCTTGAATCTTATTACAACAAAGATATAATGGTGATGTGTGTCCAGCATCCGAAACGCGTTCGTAGTCTGTGTTACTCAACATGGAACACAGCGAGAGACTCATAGAAGATGGTATATTTTTGCTACCGCACGACGTGTTTAGTAATTCTTCTAATATCGAACCCCTAGAACTAGTGCGACTCCTTACTAGTTTTAGTTGTCTATTATATGAACCGAATTCTTTGAAATAAATGTAGTATCTGGAATAAATAAAGGATCAGTGGTAGAATTGTAGTTGCTGTAACTTTTGTCTTTAATCATATAATTACTTCTCTTTATTAATTTATATTGTTGTCTCTGTTTTATCAAAGAGTACGAGGATGGGAAGAGTACAAACACAAAGTAATTAATAATTTATATACCGCTTTAAGTCTTCTGTATCTCTCTCGTTAGGACTTATCCAAAGTGAATTTTGGGCACTTTCACCGGTTTTTATGTTTGGTTTTTCCAAATCAATACTTTTTTCTGGTTTTAGATCGGATTCGTCAATGTCAATGTCTGGAATGTCTTCTATACCCTCGAGTTCTGCGTCAGGTTCGTCATCATCTGCGTCAGAATTTACAGTTTTCGAGTCAGAATTTGCGCCCTCATCGTCATCTTCGTGGCATGGCCATGAGGCGTTGGTACCTGGAAATGACGTTTTTAATATATAGTGACAAGAAATATTATCACTAAAATTAACAAGCAAATTACTTGTATAATAACAATGGAATTTATTCGTTTTCTTTCTTTCTAATTGTAGTTTTTCCGAATTTATTCATATCAATAAGAATATTAATAAATTAATAAAATAAAAAAATTCTTTTTGGACATTAAAGGATTATGGTTATAGCCTAAATTGAGTTCAAAATTCTGTTAATTAAAACAAAAACAAGAAAAATTACCTTTCAGTATAGGGTTGAGATTAAAAGAGGCTGGGCTTGCTGTTGGCACAGGCAAAGCTTGATGCTTGAGACACAGTGTGATGACGGAGCAGACGCGAGCTAATAGCCCGTCAAACTCTGGCTCGTCCGGACACTGCGAGCAGAATCTGTGGAGAACTTGCACGTGCTTCTTCGTGCATAGCGCTCGACGACCTGCCTCTGTTAATAGACGATAATACTAATGGTAAGAACGAGAAAGAAAGAGAGGAAGATAGGGGGAAGACTGTGAAAGAGACTTCTATGTACTCTACGCGTATTCCGAACGGTGTTTTTTGTAACTATAATTTTGTCCTCCTTAACAAAAGGATAGTAACGATAATAATCTTACTGATATTACAAAGATGCTGGAGCGTTTGCAGAATATGTGCGCATATCTTGAGCCTCATCCGTCCTTCGTAGCGGTCCCATCGGTCGAATACTCGGAGGAGAACGCCACTGAGACCAGTCTTCACTATTTGCATGCAGCACACCTCTGTTAAATCATCATAATATATTATTTCGAAATAAATTCATCAGAATTAAAAAGTTTATTAAGGCTTCATTATATTGTAGGTCCAACTACATAGTGCAGCCGGCTCGATAAATCAAAAGTGTTGATATAAGAAGACTTGGGACGTTTCTAAATTAAATTCAGATTTTTAAGCCACCTCAGAATACAATACCGAATGTAGCACAGTTCGTCAATGTCAAACACTTCATGAAGGACATTATGTCGTACTTGCGAGAGGTAAAAGTAAATGTGAAATTTACTATTTTTGCTGAAGTAATCAATGGCGTCGAGACACAGTCGTAAGCGGGCTGTGGGGATGTAACCAAGGGTCACCAGCACGCGCTCGTATGTTGCTATGATGCCGTCGCGGATCAGGATTGATGTTGTCACTGCTGTAAGTAAATATATCGGTTAAGATCCCTCCTATGACTATGCCAAATATTCTGCACGATTCTTATATATTTTAAGTATTTTTATGTTATTAGTACTGATAATTACTATAACATTAGAAGTTATAGTCTACACTAAAACTATTGAAGTTTAAAGCTTCATGCATTAATTAGTATAAACTGTAGGTAAAAATCAATGGATCTAATGATACATACCATTTTTCGATAGTTGTTTAATAATGACCAAAAGCGGAAATATTAACTTATTGTCTGTATAATGTCCTTTGAATATCAGATGCATTGTTCTGACGCAGCCGATCATTCTAACTTTCACTGCGAATTTAGGGTCTGCAAATCAATAACTAGTGAAAATGCTATTAAATTTTATAAGGCGCAATTTTGTTTTTTTTTCATATTTCCATGATTAGAAAAGAAATTTTTGTTACCTCTTGGTGCTATGGCAGCTATAATCCATATTAAATCCAGAACCATTAACTCTGTACCAACACTACTATCTCGCTTGCACTGGGTATTGATCAAGGTCCGGAGTATAACTTGAGTCCCATTTATTGATATTAAATGTTGTGTACATTGCTGTCTTGCGATATTGTTGGCTGAAAAACAATAAAAAGAAGTACTTATGAGTCATATTAAATATATAAAAAAACAAAACACATAATATTTCGGTATGGTCATCTTAGTTGTTATTTTAAAAGTGGAAAATCAACGGTCCCAAAAATATTAACACAAATAAACATTCATAAAAATATTGATACAAATATTAGTTGTATTACAAAATTCGAACCTATTTATTTGGTAGATAAAAGACCCTGCGTTTTTTTTAATTGACACCCAAAGTTATAATCTGGTATCATCGTTTATTCTTGGGCAACACTTTATTTGTAATTAATCGGATGTCCTAAAGCTATCCCCATAAAGTTTTCCGTCCTATAAAAATCCGTCCTCAGAATAGAATCACATGATGTCTATATCATGATTTGAAGTGAAAAGAAACGAAAAAGATCAACGCTTGTTTTTTTTAATGAATGCTCCAGAAATTTTAATCCTTGGTTAGATAGTACCGTATGGTCCATTATTTATCGTTGTGTGCTAAATTCATGCTCCCAAACTTTTTAACTGAACTCATCGCCAACCTTCGTTAGTCGGAGAGGCACCTCAAGAAGAAGAAACTTTTTAGGTAATGATGTCATCACATCCTTAGCTAAAGCCATTACGTAGGTCAAACATGGGTTAACTGGTTCACCTCATGTTCAACTATTATTTTTAATTATTTTACGGTAACACGATCATAATTCATTTCGTAAACATAATAAGACACAGTGATTTAGGAGAAATTGCAGCACAAAAAATCGTGGTATTACGTAGCTTTGAATGCTATGTGCATAACCAACTTGAGAATGTTAATTTGCATTGTGCCGGTCGAGAACATACATCACTAGAACAAGGTCAAGTTTCAATTGGTCCAGTGTTAAGCAATCGTTGCAGGCAATTGCAGGTTGCAGGCATGCCGCTAATGTCGATCACACGAAGACGAGAAAGGTGATTGGCAATGCTCCATGAGATTTTAATGTGGTAAGTAAATAAAGTGGTGCATATTAATGTTATTCAATGATTCTTTAAAAAAAAAACAAATGAAACAGTATTAAGAACGGAATACACAAAAGTAAGTGATTATTGGGGCCACAACAGTGGACGTACCCTTCTTGTTTAACGGTGCTTTATTCTCTTTGCCATTGTTTTTGATTTCTTTCTTCTTGTTTCCTTGATTTTCATTTGCAGCTAACGTTCCAAATAATATATTAAATATTTTATAAAAAAAGTTCACTATTCTATTCTCATACCGTAAATGCCTTTATGCGTAGTGAATTAAAAATATAAATTAAAATAAAGGACGCAACTGAAGAGTAATAGACTAGAAATATGTATAACAAAATACCTAATTTTTTATCAGCTACATATAGTTATATTAAGGGTAATTTTCAAAATCAAAACAAGGTTACCTATATTCTTCTTTCCTTTTCCTTGCTTCAAACACAGCGTTTCTCTTAAAATCGACGTTATGTACGTAGATGTTGCAGGATCTCTTGTATTCTGTAAGACAACAACATTATTAATGCTAGGAATTTTTAGGATTATTTTTTTACATTTTCTACAAACATAGCATGTCTATTTATATTTTATTTTATTCATAACATTTATATTTATTTTATTCATTTACTAAGATTTTTTTATATGAGAAGGGGGGAAACGAAAGTCACGAACACCGAGGTGATTAACGACACCCATGGACGTCTGCAACACCAGAGGAACTACAGACGCCCTTAACGAAATGGTTAACTTAAATAAGTCTCTTACTTCTAAAATGGAGGTGAGTACTGGAATGGCCCCAGTTTGCTTATTCCACAGTTTCTCCAGTGTTGTTTGGCGTACTTGTTTGTCTGTAAATAAAAAAATATCGGCTTAAAAATGCAGACACTGACAACAAGCGTTACGTTTTAACGGAACAAAATATGTGTTGAAACACACAAACAAAAATATATTCTGTCCCTTTGTGTTAAATGAACAGGATGTCCTCGCCTGTACATTTTATTTGAGTGACGACGCCTTCCGGGACTTTTGTTCTACTAATTTGAGGACATCAAGTGATCTTTACAATGAATTACAAACAATATTCTTGTACTCACTTTACCCTTGACTCAATTAAGTTACCGTTACCAAACTAGAGCACAGTGATTTGGCATTGATGGGTTGAGATCGCGGAACAATTATTAAAAAGTTCTCACGATCATGTGAACTTTTTAATAATTGTTGTTGATGGCTTTATTGTGTGATTTTATGCTCAATAATATTCTTAAATTATTATCAAGTATGTGGTTATAACCAAATTACTTATAAATATGAACAAGCAATTTATGTGGCTAAATTTGCATACACTTATTAAATTCAAAGGTGCGTCGTTATTAACGAGATTTTTATTGGCGCGGTGTCAAGTAAATTCGAAAGAACGAAATATATCTACACAATGTCAGCGCAGTAAATTAAAATTCGCAGGTGTCTTTGGCCGCTGTATCGACACTCGTAGTTTGATTGACAGCTGTAATGCCATTTGCTTCTGTTGGGATGCATCATTATGTACGCAATTGATAAAATTAATCATTTCCTACTGTTTATGTTTACAAGATGCTTGGCATAACATGTTGTTATGATTATATGCTCTGTTTGCTATCAAATAAATTTAATAATCCAATGATAGTAATTTACGAATGTATATCAATTACAACAAATTATACTAAACATGGGTTGCCATCTAATTATTGAAAAATGATAAAAATCTTAGTACATGTCTTTCAGTAAAAGTCTAACCAATGTACAAAATGTCATGAGTTTAACACAGATTGGTAGGGCACTGAGATAACAATGATATCGAGTGACGTAGGGCTGTTTGTCGTGACGTTGGCGAACTGCCAGTGGATACGCACGACACGACACGCGTCACAAGCCCGCCGCCGGCCACGGGCTCAGCACGCAGTCCGGAGGAATAAAACGCTGACGCCATAGCAACGAACAGTCGTAACTCTTGCTAGCAAGATTACATTTAAAAATAGAGCTTAAATCGCCGTTTGACGGTGATAAATTACAATTCTTACAGGATTACGGTGACAAACATTTTGAAATTATGTTGTGAATGCTGTTCCATTTCCATGTTCCTAATCTTAATATCTATTCTGTTTTCATCCGTACCTCCGAATGTCTACTATTCAAAATTAAGAAAGGGAAGCACATACTTTTTCAATAATACATATTTCTCAACAAAATATGCATAAAACGGAATGCGGAGATAAAAACTACATTTTCACTGTGGACTTATTTCAAGGCAAACGAATCATTTTTAGGTAACACTATACTTAGTTGTTTTATTTTGAATTATTGCGCTATTTAATATGAAGTAGGAAGTAAAAATAATAACAATTTAATATTTAGAAATTACAATTTAAACTACACAACTCTGTGTATTTTGGTAAACGAGCCGAGACACGGAGAGGTCCGCAGCTGTTTCGAGTCAATGTCAAGGCAATTCTTGATTTATACAGTGATATAATTAGATCCTTGCGAATGTAAACAACTGTTCATGTTTTATATTGACTATTTTATTGGTTTCACTTGACTGAATTATACTTTTAATTAAGACTAAAATTTTATTCAATTCATAATTTATTAGTGTTCGCCCTTGACTCTGATCTTGTCCATTTACAACAACCTATGTGTTCCTCCAAATTATGTTCTACAGCTATGGAAAATTTGAGAACCATAAACTTTTGCATTATATTTATAGCATTTTTAATCTACAGTTGAACGTACGAAAGCATAATCGCTTTCAAAGAAATGTCTTTAATCAATATTACATTTATACGATTTCTTAAGCTATTTAGAGCTACGAAGCTACGATCATAAACCGGAAGCAATCTATAAACACGTGGCTGGCGTAGACGCGCTATTTAAAACATTTTTTAGTTATCGATGATGTAGTTCATTGAACATTAAAATTGAAATTTGCATGTTGTACAGTAACGCGTGCAGTTTGCTATTGTAATCTATTTCTGATTCTTTCGATATCGTATCAAAGTAACTCTTTGATGTTTGCATTAGAATCATAGCTTTAGAAAAGTTTCATGAGAATCTTACATACATTAATAACTGGGTCAAGTCGATAATATTTAAATATATTAGTAGTGTTGATTAAACAACGATTGTAAAAAGCAAAATAGTTTGAGTACTCCTAGAGTCTATGAACAATACTGGGGATAGTGTGTTGCTATTGTAAATTTTAATGATTAGGTAACAGCAAATATACTACTTTGCTAAGACCAGGAAGGTAAGATGAATACAGATTTGATGACATCCTTATTGAAGGAAATAACAAGATGAATAAAATGTTGGATTCAAGATAAACAACTACGCATTTGCTTTAATGAAGCAATCAAATGTTATGATTTAAAATTATCTTTTGCACCTGTCACTGGTTCACTTGACAAATGTTGTTTGACAAAGATCTTAATTGAGATTGATGATGATTAATAACATTGTGTCGTACGAAAATTATTTAGAATCATATAGTTTATCAATGCACAGAAGCGGAGAAATTATACGAAATTAAAATTTCCCGAAATCTAGTTCTGAAAATATTGTAAGCAACAATGTGTAGCAGTAGTTATCCATAATTGAAATAACAATTTGTCTTGTACATGCGAAACCTTCCTTTCACTGTTTCATTTGGAAAAGCAGTGATAAAATTCATAGAAAATGAAAATCAATGTGTTCCCATGGAGTATATAATTAATGCTTTCGATAAGAATTGTCTATAGCAATATTTCAGTAAGTTTTAACACCATAACAGTAACAAGGCTAGTGTGGTGTATCGATTCTTATCAGTTTCAAGAGGGGCGTTGTAAGGTGACTTTTACAAGGTGCAATAAACTGGTCGACATTGATTGATCGAATCTGTATCCTATTGTAGTAGTTATTTGGGGTCAAAATCAAGTAAACACGATGTGTAGTGATCGATATTATATATTATTAAACTGTATTCGATAGTTCAAAAGGGACAAATATACAATTATCGGAGTAAATTATTCATGACACTTATGTAGCAGGCACGGTTTAGGGCCACTGCACCAAATTATCGCATGTCTTTTAATCACGCGATTCATTTGCAGATATACCACAATTTAGTAGCATAAATACTATCATTTATATTATAAAGTGCTGGCAGTTTGTTGTTGAAATTGTTACTGTAACAACGATTAATGTTCTATTAGTTTTAAGTTTTGTTTGAGAAAGTTTGTGTTAAAGTTCAAAGTAATTTTAGTTTGACGATGATAGAGTACTTTGGCAAATATTTCTACTTTCTATTGATTTCTCTGTATCAAAAACATTTAGTGTTAAAAAAATAAGTACTGATGTACTTCGTAAGATTTAAAAAAACACACTTTAAACTATTTTCTAAATTTTTCGAATGATGGTATTGTATTAATGACTTTTAGGTGTTAACAAGCATTACGGTCACATGTTAAGAGTTAAGTTTTCGAGAAATTTGGTCCGCAATAATAAAAATAAATTGACAGATTTAAGATAACCTATAAGATTGAATTTAAAATACACAACAGATACTATATTCACACATGAAATGATAAAAACAAACTACATTAAAAGATACTAATTTACACGAGTCGTACAAGTTACGAAAAAAACATAATAACGATGAAAAAGAAAATTCCTATCATCGTGTACAAAAGAATGATAATTCATTTGCATAAAAAATGGATAATCAAAAGCTTGGCAAAAGTATTCCTCGCGTCTACAAAGTCATTAACGTTCTTTTATCACGCACAATAATTTGGCAAGCTTCGAAAGTTAAACATGCAGTAGTTTTTCAATTAAGATTAATAAAAGCTTGGATTGTTGTGTGCGGTGTTCACAACGTCTCAAACGGCATTTTTATACATAGTACTGACTCAATCATCATCAGCTCACTATACGTCCCCACTGAGGGGCTAGGAGCCTAACCTAAGTTAGAGGTGACCAGGCCATAGTCAACCACGCTAGCCCAGTAAGGGTTGATTGATTTCACACATATCATTGAATTTCTTCTCAGATATTTTCCTTGACTTCACAATGTTTTCTTCCACCGTAAGAACGTCGGATAGATGTACATATGTAAATCGGAAATCGAAAAACACATTGGTACATGGCGGGATTCGAACCCAGGACCTTTAGACTGCAAGTCAAGTGCTTTAATCCCTGAGCCACTCACACTCACTGACGTGCCGAATATACTTAAGTTCAGAGTCGTATTTTATTTTTAAGTTAAATTGCTATTATATTTATAAATATTTACATTGTAGTGAAGTTATATTTTACTACATACATTTTAAAATATTATATTGAGTACATTTATAGTTCTAAAACATTGAACCGATGAAAATCGATAGATTTTAGAATTTAAATTATACTATCAATGTAAATTCCACAACTGTAATACGTTGAGTAACTGTGCCAAGGTCTGATGACAAACAAATCGGCAATAATCATTACGTTTACGATATACGTTTCCTTTACGCAAACTATTACTTCCTTGACAAGGAAGGAAAACATACTAATATCTAAATCAAAAGAAAATATAAATTTATTTACAAAGAACTGTTATTCAAAAAAATTATAGCGACATATCGCAGTACTTTGGGAACTTCCCTGTTGTCAATCATAAACTGATGTCTGATATGTATTTAAATATAAAAAATGTAATAAAGCTTAATAACTGTAATGTCTTAAATATCAAATTCATTTTTATGTGCTGAAAATTCAGACTATACACATGGAACGATTTCAAACGAAATATTCTATAGAAGATTTTTTTTTATATCATAAGGTTGCAAACGAGCGAGCGGTCACCTGAAATAGCGATAAGATGTTGAAGCGGGATCTACCACTGTTAATGGGTGGACTTTCTAAAATATGAGCGTTGTTGTGAAAATATGTTTTTACTTTCTATTAACTTTAAGATTGCATGGATACCACGTAATGGGAAAACCACCTTCCCATACATTAAATTTTACCGCCGCCACATCCCTATTCTGCTCTTTCACAGTTCCAAATAAAACAATCACAACGTATTAATATACGTTACGTTAAGACTTAATAGTCTTACTTGAAAAACAGTTTAATAAGTTTACCTTTTACTTTTATACAAAAACATGTCGATAATTGCTGCTATTTCCTTTTAAATTCTTAAAGGTGTCATGTGAATTGTTGCGTGTTGATGACTTAAGTTAATTCAGCAAAGGTCGAGCAACGATTATAGTATACCCGCTGACAGTGATTGGCTGGCAAGGGCTGACAGCTCTGATAACTGATACACAGTAAAATCATGATAGTCTAGTAGTTATATATCTGAGGGTTGTGGATTGATTCTCGAATGGTTTATACTATTTATGTTAAAACGGATTATCTAAAGGATCGCATTGACATATTTCAAATGCACATTATAAGATTGTTTTTGCTGCGTTTTTTTAACATAATTTTAGGAAATTAAAAAAAAAATCACTAAGCCACTACAATAGCAAAACGCTTATATTTTACATTATGTCTATACATACAATATCTTTTATATTAAATTCTCGTGACACATTGTTTGTTACCATACCCCTCCGAAACGACCTGAGCGATTTTTATAAAATTTAATACGCATAAGTAGGTCTGAGAATCGGCTACTATTTATTTTTTATTCCCGCACGGATGGAGTCACGGGCGACAGCTAATGTATTTATAAATTAATGTCGCTATAGATCGCAAATGTACATACAAGTCCAAAGCCATAAGAGCCAATATATTCCACTTACGACGTCCATAACAATAATTGGTTTCTTTCACTTATCACTAAATCAAGGCGACCATCAATCACATATAAATGGCTTATTGACATTATACAAATACTTATTCAATGTTATTGACAACTCTTACATTTTAAAACATAAGTGGACTTTGTAAATGTTAAAACGATTGATATTATAGTAATAGTTTGGTTACTAAATAAGAGGATATGCGTAGGAAGGGGGTAGACTCGGATATGATGGCTGATAGAGATGTATGGAGGGGAAGTACATAATGTGCCGATCCTCGATAGGGATAAGGGCAGGTTGATGATGAGTTGGGTTACTAAATGTTATTGCATAAGTCTACTGTCTTTGACAATCCAGCTCTCTCAAATATCTTTCAACAGATTAAAAAATCTGTCACATACTTCATTTATAAAACGCTGCAGAAAAGTACAAAATGTCGGAACAAGCATGTAACAATTAGCATTATTTTGTATTGTATTGAGCGAAACCCGTCAAAAGCGACGACTCGTGGGCAACGGTCCAATGCAATAAGTCCCGGCGTCCGCAATATACAGGCCGAGATTTGCATCACAGATATTTATGTGGGAAAATCGTTGAAGATATTCAACTTTATAGTATGTGTTATATACTGTCATACTCAGAGTCCTTAAGTGGTCAATAAGGGAGTTCTTTAGACTAGATTTAATATGAGAATGTGGCAGTCTGATAGAGTAATTTAACAATCCTAATCTATGAAGAATTAATGGAGAATGAATTTCGTGTTTTAAAGTGAAGATAGGAACAAGAAGAAAAGAAACGCTACATTACTAAGTAAACGGAAGAAATCGTTTACAAATCTACAGTTGTTTATTTTTATATTATTCCAACACTAGGCTGTTTGATAAACAAAATTAATAATATTTATTTTAGCTAGTTCTAAATCTTTGATCTCAAATACAGCAGCTGCCCGCATCGTAATTGATGAGTAGGAAATGTTGATTAACGATAATTTAACATGAGAAACAAGTTAAATAGTTAAAATTATGACATACTTTGGTCTATATAAAAAATATGCGTGTAATAGGGATGTTCCACCCAAGATCGGCCTTTCTCATAAAATCTAATTTTTATATCTAAAAATTAATTTTACTCGTTTCCGAAGAGTTGGAAAAAAAGTAATGTTAATAATTAAAAACAATATCTAAAAAAAATCATGAACATGTTAGACTTAGGCATGCGTGATGGATGCGAACAATTGCTGGTCGTATGGCTTATTATCTATTTTCTAGTTTTACATGTCGGAATACATGCGTCCCAGTCAATGAATAAACACACACCGAATGTTCCAATATAATTTAATCCTTATAACTTCGCTAATAGAGTTTAATATCCCGTACACATAGTACGTGTGACTGCAATCGCTATTTGTAATTTGTTTCAAACGTATTGTGTGTAATTTATACGCATTGTGCCGCTTTTTTGTTTTTATTGTCTTTCGCAGATACGCGAAATATATTATCATTTGCTGTTTGTAAATAATTCACATTGATTTTTAACAGACAAATTGTATTAGAAATATATTCCTGTATTTGCCAGAGTAACTTTAAGAATTTTAATTAATCAATTTTCTTTATTTTACGTTATTTTTAACCATAATACTAAATGATAAACAACTACAATGTTGTTCCTTCGTATATTGTATAGATATAAATAGGTTATTTACCTAGATCTAGAACTATTAACGCGATTACAAAAGGAAGAAGTCGATGCAGTTCTAGCAACTTTGTAACCTGCGTACATTTGTTCTAGCTCCCGTGTTAAAGAGGGGTGGGTCACTACTGGGTAAATATAACAAATAAGATTATCATACCGTGAGATGTGAGGCGAGAGTTGATGCGTGCGGTGATGTTTCGGGCCACTTCGGTGGCATCATGTGACCGCTGCTGGTAAACTCGCAGTCGCTCGAAGAGGCACTCCGCCGAGCTGTCGTCCGCCATGCGGTACACTGTAAGATAACGCTCAGTGCAATCAATACACGCCACAAAATGCCCTGGCTTAGCCCGACTTAAAGTGACCCAGATTACGAAGATAAGACATGTTTCTCCAAGTTATTTCAACTTGAAAACAAATCAACATGAATAAAAAAAGATAATCTAACTTTATAAAGGGTAGTTAAAGAACTCGCTTCTGTAGTTTTTTGAACTACCCCACCCTCTCTTTAGACCTTTACAAAGTAATTTGAGTCACTTGATTATTTGTGATAATTGTAAGTAAAGTAATATAAATACGTATATTTGAATGTATCGGAATTAGTATTCTGCTGTAAATATTTTATGTATTATATAAATGTTGTTTTGTCGCAAGCCGCTTCGTAAATAAATCTATTGTTTCTATAGTATCAAGTAATTTACGTGCGGATTGCGGCAATTAGTAACCAAGTGCACAGAATAGTTTTTATCTTTGTTTTTTTTCGTATTAAATACTATTTTTAATACGATTTAAAACACTTTTTTTATTAACATTTAACCATTCTTAGCACATTGTTTCCATTGTTAAGTATAATTTAAATTTTGGATAATAAGTTTGACAAAGTATCGATTACTTTTTGTCAAATTTACAGTTAGTGATAGAGGTTCTATAAAAAAATTATTATATCAATGTAATTCTACTTACTCACTCTACAAAAGTCAAGATTTAATTATTTCGTAATAACATATTATACAGGAAAATCGTGTCGTATATTTACTCAATTAAAATAAAGACGATTACAGTGTTAATGAAAAATGAGAGACGTATAAAATCTATTAAAAACCAGTGCAGTGTTAACGAGCAACGTATTTTTTATCTCTTTGCAATATGTCCACGCCGGGCAGTAGACTACTTTTAATTAAATTGACATTGATTCGTTTTAATTTTTTTTTGTTTTAAAACGAAATTTTAAGTAGTTACAAGCATATGATTGAAACATAATATCATATTTAGGTGCATTTCTATAAATGTAATAATAATAAAGTGACATAATAAAGGAATATAAACTAAGGATGGAGTAATTTAAACTACAATATGTGTAAAGACTACAAAAAAGTTATGATTTAATACAATTAGGTAGTACAGATTTAGTTTTATGAATGTAGGTTAAAACATAATAGAATTTGGATGGATAACACGTTGAATGAAAGACGGCGGGTTGCTACAAATTACGACGTGGGACGTACGTGCGTGTGATGCTTAGTGTGGTCCTTTGCTGGTGTTTGAATGTGAAGCGGTTGCTTTGTAAATAAACAGTGTGTGGTGTTCGGTGCGCGACTGCAGTGACTGGCGAGCTCAGCGCCCCGCGGCGGTCGCCGCCCGACTAAAACTGAAGGGGAAAATCGGTACGCGACGCCTCACTCGTGCCAAATAATCGCTTTTCACGCGCGTAAACAAATATATGCAGCGATGCTCTATTACTAAAGACTATTGTTGCTTAACTGCATTATATCGACTAAATATCTCGAAAAAATTCGTATGGATTAAAATGTTCATTAATGGTACGAATTAGGTTAAACAAAAAAAAAGAAAAAGATGTAATAAGCCTTTTAAATAAGTTTAAATAAGTAAATTTAGCCAAAAGAGTAAAAATTATATTTACTTTTGTAACAATTCCATCCTAAGTGTATTAAGTGGATGGACTCGACTAAAAATCGATGTAATCTTTCGTAGAGCCATCAACAAACTTTTTCAACCTTTACGCGTCTACTGTTGACTCATTCGTTGTTTTCATCGGTTCCATTTAGAATAGGGACGATTTTGATATTTAAAGTTATTAATAAAATTGCAGACTTATTGTCAGTCCTTACCACGAGGACTTCTGTAATTACCAAACAAAACATTTTGAATAGTGTTTTATTACGTTTGTTTACATTTTAAATAATTGTTATTTACAGTGGCTTGTTATGTATTTATGTGTATTTCAAACCTACCGAAAGTTGTAAAACCCATAAAAATAAAGAACATCTTAATTTATTTGTGTTTTGATGTTATACATTACAGTGTTATGACGAGAAATTCTTCGAAAATCAAGCGGACAAAAGGCTTTGTTCAGTTTTGTAAACAAATCGAAACAGGTTTAAATTGTAAATAAAATTGATATTTAAATAAACAAAAGGATTAAAAGATGGATACCAGAACAATATTTACATATTTATCGGCCATATGTTACAATTGTGATATAAATATATGTATTACTTACTTCTTCTTTTGGATTTCTTGGCTGCGTAATTGCTTACAATTGTATCGGTTTCTGTATCCACTTCCTGCAACAGTATATCAATGTTATATTACGCAAGTTTTAGTAATTACAATATCCCACACAAAATAAACCCAATAAATAAAATGTTCACTAACTCCGTGAATATCAAAATAATGACAGAGTTTTTAAAATCATTCAATTTAAATTCATCGTACCTCACAATTTCTACAAAATTGTAACGTTTTCTTTAGCAAAAAAAACCGCATGCTACAAGTGAAGTTGTTTACAATATTCAAAGCTTCTTGGAATATACTTTACAACAAAATAGACTTAAAAGCTAGATTATTTAACCTTAGCAGCTGATACTTGTACGTACGAATAACTTTCGATGGTCAAGTGTACGTTATCTATGCCACTGTATAAGTAACAAACAACAGTTTTTGTTTGTAAGTAATTTTTAACGCCTTAAGATTGCAATATTTTTGTAACTGTCCTTTTTAAGCATAGAATTAAGATGTTGGGAATAGAGTTAAGATGATAAAGTCGTGTAAAGGATTTTCTAGAAATGACGTATGCAAGGTGAGTGTATAGTTCTAAGTATATTAAGTCAAAGCGAACCTGGCATTTTTCACTCATGACACTTATGTTTATTCTATTGTAGAAAATCGTTTAATAAACAAATGTATATCATTGCCGACAACAACTATCTTTTAATTTAACTACTATATAACCTTTAAATTAAATGTCAGATCGAAAAATTGACATTTGAAATGTGTCACAAATAATCCAGATGGCCTGTATTTATGTGTCGTAACTCGGCTAACGTAATAACCTGCACAGAAGTTATGGCTACAAAATTGACTACATTCGCATTTTATTCGGTTGTAAATCATTTTTATATTAGGTCTGTTTATCGATGATTAATATAATATGAACTTCAACTACAAAATACAGATTACTATTTCTTATAATTAATAGTTTAGCTGTCCCAAATAGTCGTGCAATGCTATGAAC